TGGTCATCGATGTCAATCCCAGAGTTCCCTCGCCGTTCCCACCCCCTCTCTTGGGCGCCCCTCTCTGCGCGGCTAGACCCGACGAAGACGACGTTCTGGCGGGCGCCCTCTTTCTGGCGCTTGTGGAACGACACTGGGGCGAGCTCCTTCTGGGCGACCCTCCCAATAGGGATCAGGGGGGCTCTGTTGCAGCGCGCGCGGGCGCCGCGACTGCGGTCCACGCCCCATTCTCACATTGGGATCTCGGCGGCTGGGAGCAAGCGCCGCGCGATGTCGGAGCCGCCCGCGCTCCGCAACCGGTCCGGCAGCGGCGGCGGCTGCGCTTCCCGCGGGCGGCGATTCTGATGATGCGCGGGCCCACGGGCACGATGTAATTCGGACGCAGCACTGGGGCGCTCCGCTCGCCGGGCGCGCCGCCCCATTTCATCGCGCGGGGCCAGCGAGCGGGCGCGCCCCGAAAGCGCCGCAACTGCGGTAGAACTGGAGCAGGGGTTCCTCGTCGCCGTCGAAGAAGCCGCAGAGGTACCGCACGTCGAAATCGTGGACGTCCGAGATGGCTCGTTTCCACAACCAGTCGGTGCCCCACGGAGCGGGTTGGCTCCTCTCGTCGATCGGCGCGGCCCACCACCTCGTGAAGATGGCGAATGGAATCGTTGCGCCTGGGTTTCGATCGGACTCTACCAGGTCTACGCTGACGACCCAGTAGCAGTGTTCGCCACCGTCGGCCTCTGTCGCGACTGCGACCTCCTCGACGCGACGGGGCCGCCACAGCGCGAAGCCGACGTCGGTGTCGCGAGGGCCGATCAACGGAAGTCGCCCCCCAGAACGGACCCTCCTCCGCGTCCTTCTGCGCGTCGATCGCGCCCATCAGGCTTCGGGGCGTTTCCCCCACCTCAACTGAGGCTTCTTTCCGGTCAATGCATGAACCGCAGCAGTGAAATCGGCGTCGACGAGAATGACGAGAAGATTCGCTGTCTGCCAGTAGAGCCACTCCGACACCGAGTCCCTCGTGCAATTCATCGTGATGATCGCGACGTTGACCACGATATGGATCGTGGACGGGATCTTGGCACCGCCCCGCAGCTCAATGCGCCTCTCGTTCCAGTTTAGCCGGGGCGCAGGGCGAGTCGGCGACCACAACTGCAGCATCGAGAATTTCGAATTGTTGCAGCGGCCGCTGCTGCGCTGGAGCGCTCTTCGCTGAGACTCCCTGCTGAGCGGGGGTGCGGCTCCGACTCCTTCGCCGCCGCCGCTGCGGCTGCAGCTTCACTCGGTCCATCAGGTAGCCCGGCGGAACCCTCGCAGGCCGCTTCGGCCCCTCAGCTGCCGGCCTCGCCTTCGCCGTCGGAGTGAGCTGCTGTTTTGGAAGCAGCTGCGGTCTGCGGCATGCGGGCTCCACTGGCGTCAGGGAGGGTACGGGATGCGGCCTGCGCCCCTCCCAGAGTTCGGGGGGAGCGCCTTGGTTCGGGGCGCTGCGATCTCCGCGGCGTTCGCTGCGCGCACTTGTTTCACGCGATCGGCCAACTCTGACTGTGAACGCTCGGCGGCCAACTGCGCCTCGCGCGTCGGTTCCCGCGAGCGCAACTGCGCCTTCATTTGCCGTGGGCGCGGCGAGGCTTCACCACCCTCCCTCGCGCGCAACTGCGCTTTGCCTGAGCGTTTCTGATGCGGCGCGGGGGGGGGTCCGAGCGACGCGTTCAGCGACCCGCTCGTCCTTTGAAGTGGCAGCTCAAGGAGATGGCCCCGCCTGCTCCTCCTCCACTTCCCCCTTCGGCGACTCCTTCGGCTCCCCCACCTCCTCGTTCGGCTTCTCCTTCGCCCCCGCCCGGCTGCGGGCGCGGAGATGGGCCCTTCGCCACCACGAGGGCGCTGCAGCGGAACCCTCCGCAGCTGCGGGCCCCCCCCCCGCGTCATCGTCGACTTCCGTTGTAGCCCCCTCGGGCGACTGTGACCCTTCCGCCTCCGTGGGATTTGGAGCCGCAGCTGCGGCCTCCTGCCGCGCTGCCCGGCGCGCGCCCGCTGCTCCCGCCTGCGGGCCAGTCTCGCACTGAGGGTGTCCATGTTCGTTCGACCCCGCGTCGATTTCCGCCGCAACTGCGACCTCTGGCGCGCCGGCCTGAGCGTCGGTTTCAGCCGCAACTGCGGCCTCGAGCGCAGCCTCGCCCTCGGCGGCGACCTCGCCGCCTCGACGGCGCGGCGCGCCCGTCGGCGCGCCCAATTTGTGGTGGCGTTTGTCGCGCTGCCGCGGCATGAGCGCGGCGCCGCCCCCCGGCCCTGGCGGCTGGCGCGGCGGGCGAGAAGGCGGGCGAGTGCGAAGGGTCGGGCGGAGATGACTAAGCAGGGGGACGCGGTCAAACGAGGAGTTGGCGTTGCATCTAGGACACGCGTGAGAACGAGACAGCGGGGGAGGAGGGACGACGAAGATAACGACGAGGAGAACGAACAGGAGGCATTGTGACCAGGTGCGCGAGAGAGAGAGAGAGAGAGAGAGAGAAAGAGAGAGAGAGAGAGAGAGACAGACAGAGAGAGGGGGAGAGAGCGCATAAGAAACTCACAGCCACCCGACGACGAGGAGAATGCATAGAAGGAGGGGGGAGAGGAAGATGAGGATATGTTATTTTGCAACTGGTCGACGCAAAGCTCTCTCACCTACCGCAACTGCGGCTGCGAGCGCCGCCACTGCGGCCGCGCCAACTCGATCGGCCACGGATTCGGCCGCGTGCGAATGAACAAGAGCAGCGACTGCGGCTTCATGCAACGCTCCCGATTACTGGCTCGACTGCCACCTCGGGCACAAACGTGCACCTTTAATGCCGTCGAAACGCCCTGGGGGTTCGAGAACGCTGACCTGCTTATAACAACGGAACGCGCTTGGCCCGTCGTTCTGGCCAAGCCCCTTCCACGACGCGCGCGCGATGCTCGAGTGGGGCCCCTCCTCGTGCATGCGGAATTTCGTTTTGGACAATTCGGGGTAAATTCGAATGCCCGAACAGTCGTCGCGGCGGAGGGGGAAATCCCACCTCGACAGCTTGGCGCGCCCCTGGCTGCCGTCACGCACGCGCTTCGCCTGCCTGTTGTGGCCGTGCGAATTCGGGCACGGGCAATTTCGCAACTCACCAAACCGCGACTGCGGCTTCCCTCAGGGCCACGCACCACCCGCCCCATCGTAGACGCGCCCATCTGCGCGACCATATCCAGCCAAGACCAAGGAACGAAATTGTCGCCACTAAACTGCCAGGCTGTGTTGTCCCGGTATGTCCCGCCGCTTTTGGTTTTGATGATGCACGGGATCATATCCGCAACTGCGGTGCTGAAGCTGCGGGAGGAATTTCAATCTTCCAGATCACCCCGGGAGAACTTCAATGCTGCGTTACTTTGCCTGTAGTTGCCATTCCCTTTGTCGTAGGTGTCGAAATAGCCGAGCGTGTACACGGTGGGCGCCGTTTCCTCCTCCAGCGCGGGCTCTGCGGTTGGCGCGACTGCGCCTTTTTTCTTTTGCCCAGCGAAATTGCGCCTTCACCGTTGCCAATCTCGCCAGGCGCTGCCGAAGATTGCGCGATCTCCGCGGGGGCAGGCGGATGGGGCGGTTTCCGCGCGCGCTTTTGCCGTTGGCTGCGGCTCCTGCGCGCGCCGCGCGTCACCTCGCCATCCGCTACTGCGGCCGCTTTGCCGGTCGCGACCCCACCAGCTCGACGAACCCTCTTCCCATCCGCGCCACCGATAACCTCCCCATCCGTTATCTCCCTCATCGTTTCAGCGGCCGCCCCCCCCTCAAAAACAAAAATCGTCGCGCTGGCCTTGCTGCCCTCCGCCATGGCGGCCGCCGTCTTGTCCGCCACTGCGGCCTCGACGGCCCCCCCCGCCGTCGTCTGCGGCCGGGGTCGACATCGTCGCTGCTGGGATCCGTGCCCCCACAATATCTTGCGCGACGCGCTCACGGACGCGGGCCCCGCCCCTCCCTTCGATATCCGAACGACGAAGCCCCGCCGATGCGCGATTTGAACCACAACTTGCAGCATGCATCGGCTCAGTCTTCTTCCTTCTCCTCCTCCTCCTCCTCTCCCTGCTCCTGCCCCCCCCTCTCCTCTTCTTTCCTCATCCCCCCTCCCCTTCCCCATCCCCTCCCCATTCCCCTTCGCCCCCCCCCCCCCCCCCCCCCCCCCCCCCCTCCGCCCCCCCCCCCCTCCCCCTTTCGCCCCCCTCTCCCCGCCCCCCCCCCTCCTCCTCTCCTTCTTCCTCCTCCCCCCCCCCTCCTCCTCCCCCTCCTTCGTAGCCATTTTGGCTCAAGATGTCTGCTTCGCGCGAGCAGGGCATGGATGCCGCTAGTCCGCGGCCAGTCCAAGCTTTCCAGCGACAGCCACGGGCGAGCCGGCACCCCTCCATTCCATATTCATTGTTCGCGCCCGCCCCCGCCGAGCGGTCGACCCCTGCCCGCTGGGCAAAAGTGCGCTCGCACGGCAGCTGAGGACGGCGCTGGTCGTGGCTCTGGGCGCGCTGGCGGCGGCCACCGCGGACCAGGCGTTGCTGCCCCTCCTGGGCGACATCGCCGCGAGCCCGCCCCCCCCCCGCTGCCTCTGGAAAGTCTCGTTCGAGAGGCACGGAGGAACGGAGCGCCCGCTCGAGACGGAGAGCAGCCAGGGAGGGAGACGCGCTGGCGGCCCCTTGCCCCCGTCGCGACGGCAAGCGAGATCCACGCCCCATGCGCGAGCCTCAAGCTGCGGCCGCCCCCTCAGATCCTGATCGGCATCGGCCCGCCGCGCAGCGTCCTGCCGAAGAACCGGATCCTTGGCAAGTACCTGGTGGTGGACCACGGCCAACGCGCACATCGCTCCCTGGCGCGCCTGTGGGAGGATGCCCCACCCCGACGGGGGTTTCTGGCGACCTCCAGGCGCTGCTGGACAGCTGCATGCAGCAGGCCACCGTGGCGCTGGCGGAGACGTCGCGTGTCCAGCTCGCCTCCTGCCAGCAGCAGCTCGTGGGCATGTTCCAGGCCCAAACAGGAGCACGTCGCCAAGTCGCTCGCTGTCCACGCCCGAGACGCTGCCAAAGTGGGCGAGCGAGCGGGCGCCCTGGCCGACGAGCAACGGCGGATGCGGGCCCAGATCGACGACATCGAGAAGACGCTCGCCATGGCCGAGAACGAGACCCCGATCATCGACTTCCAGGCGCTTGAGGCGTGTTCCAGGCTCCCCGACGCGAGGATCTTCTCCGCGGGTGCTCCTGAATTGGTCGGCCCTGCGCAAGTGCGCGCTGGCATCTCCGATTGGCTCACAGCTGCCGGCATCGACAAAACATTGTCCGTCTCGACCCCCCCGCCCCCAGAAAGCGCTTCAACATTGTCGTGGGGGGCGGGCTGGACATCGCCATTCCGCGTGCTCAAGCGCTGGCTCGACATCTGCGTAGCCCTGCGGCCCCCAATGGATGGCGCTCCTTCCAGTGCCAAGCGGTTGGCGGTGGCACTGTCCCGCTCTACGTTTCTCCTGACAGGTCCCCACAGCAAGTGCGGATGGAAATCCAAACGAGGCGTCTCGCCAACATCCTCAGTGAAGCGGTCCCTGGACAGGCCTTCAGCGCCCAGCGGGCTCGTGGCATCATCACTTCCCAGGGCGTCAAACTGGCCGAACTCGAGATGGGCGGCCGTCGGGAAGCGGGCACCGCCACCCGCTGGAACGTGGACATGGTCTCGCGGATGGCAATCGACAGGGACGCGATCGCCGAGCAGTCCAAGAAGGCCTTCTCGCTGGAGGACCGCACGGAGTGGCCTTGGCACTTCGCGTTGGGATCCGCGGCGCCCGCCGACTTCAGACTGTCGCTCCCGAGGGCTGCACTTGGCGGTCTGGAGCGCCAGAGGCCTGCTCCACTCGAACCCGCGGTTTCGGCGCCGCAAGCTGGCACCCCTGAGCCCTCGCACGCGGGCGGGCGCCATGATCCTCGTCCAGGAAGTCCACGGATCCGAGGATGCGTTGAGGGTTTTCTGTCAGCTACAGCCGCAGCGCTATCTCTCGTTTCTGGCGGCTGTCTCTTCCCCTGGCGTGGGTGGCGTCGCCTTCCTGGCCCCGCAGATGCCCGCGGCTTCCTCGCCCGGGGTGGCCCCCGCATTCTCCTTCGACCTCGTGATCCCTGACAGGGCCGCCCTCCTCAGCTCGTCGACCCTCGTCGCAGTACAGCATCTAGCTCATGGGCGCACACAAATTCGACCTCTCAGATTGCGACTTCGCCGCGGTGGAGGTGGCCTGGGGCGACGCCCTCGCCTGGGCCGCGGACGACCACTTGAGGCGCATCTTCATCGGGGCGGGTGACTTCAACATCGCGGACCGCCCTGCAGTTTCGCAACGGTCTCCTGTGGCAGAGGAGACATGGCGACTGCGCCCTGATCAACGCTACCAACTGCGACAGCCTGCGCGGCGTCGGCCCTTCGCCGCGGCCCTGGAGATTGAGGCGCAGTGGCCCACCCACTTCGACAAGGCCAGCCAGCAACTCTCGGTCATTGACCGCATATTCCTGGGAATCGACACGCATGCGATGCTCTCCGTTTCCACGCGCCTCACGACCGCTTGCGACTCGATGGAGTTGTCGGAGCCCGGCCTCAGCGACCACGCGCCTCTCGTCTTGCAGATCGAGATGGCCCGACATGTACCGCGCGAGGAGCAGGCGACCCCGTCGCACCTCCTCTTCCACCCGAAGTACCCCGATACATTTGTTCTAATGATGGCGAACAGTGATTTGGAGGCTGCGTCGGTCGAGGACCGCTGGCGTGCCTACAAGACATGCATGACATCGGCTGCAGGTCGGATCCGCGATGAGCAGCTGCGCACCAAGTTCTCCCTGAAGGCCAGGGACGGCAATGCCGAGACCACGTACATGGGCTTCAAGACTGCGGCGCGGGCCCTCTGGCGCCAGGATGCGCCGCTTGCGGCCCGCCTTCTGGCATTGTGCACTGACCTCTCCGCCCGCCTGGTGATCGACCAAGGCTCCGTTCGCGTGGCGGACGCCAGAGCCTTCGCCGAGGCCTTCGACGCGGCCGCGGCGAAGGTGCACGCCATGCGCAGGCAGGCGGCCGAGGCCGCTGCGCGGAGGTCCAACGACCGTGACAGCCCCGCCTGGCGCCGCGTGGGGCGCAGGTCTGCCCGATACGCACAGCCATGGATCCCTTGGCGTCGCCAAACGGCGCTTGCTGGCCTACGGCTTGACTCTGCCCCATGCGCCTCCGACATTGCCTCGGACGCGCCCCCCCCCCCCCCCCCAGGTGGTCAGTGACTCCGCGGGCATGACGGGCGTTGTGGCTGAGTACTGGGGCAAGATCTTCGAGCGCACGCCGACCGTGGAGCAGAAGCTGCGGCTCAACCAGTTCCTTGACCGCTTTGCCCCGCAGCTTCCCGTGGTGGAGCTTCCTCAGCCGTCGCTGCGCGCACTGGGGAGCGCCGCAGCGCGGGCCCCGCCAAGCGCTCCTGGGCCTGACCAACTCCCATACGCAGCGTGGCGGCGCAGCCCTGGTGCTCGACTGCATCTCCACGCTTTGATGGAGCAGCTTTTCAACGAGGGCGCTGGGCCGCATGACCTCAACTGGTCGATCTTCCTCTGCGTGCCGAAGGGGGCGGAGGATGAGGACACACCCGGCCTGTGCACTCGAACGGCCTCCATTGTGCGCACGCTCTCCCTCAAGAATGCGGACGCCAAGCTCATTGCCTCCTGCGCGGACCGCGCTCTGCAGCCCATCGCCTCCGCTGCGACGGAAGGGGTGCAAAAGGGCTTCACTGCTGGGCGGCGCTTCGTGGACCACACCCCGTTCCTGGACGCGGAGTGCCGCCGCGAGGGTCTCCTCCCTGGCGCCGCTCAGCGTCGCCCGATGCTGCTTTCCTTCGGCTTCAGACAGGCGCTCCCGCCCCTCTTCCGCGACGTGATCGACATCGTGCTGCCGAGGTACGGCGCCCCGCTGGGCTTCTGTGGTGTGATCTCGGCGCTGCGCTGCAACTGCCACGCCTTCAGCTCCTTCCGAGTCTCGGGAGGCAGCGCGGCGATGGGGCCGCCTTTTGCCTTGAGGTGCGGCATCATGCAGGGGTGCCCCCTCTCGGGCACGGTCTGGCGCCCGGGCGTGGACGCCCCGATCCGCGCTCTGATAGAGGCGCTGGGAGACCCCCCTGAAGGCTGCCTCACAGCGCGCGCGGGCGATCTGGGCATGCTCATCCGCAATGCCAAGACCCCCCCGTTCACCGCCGAGTCTTTCGAGGACATCGAGTTTGCATTCAACCTCCAGCTTGCGATCCACAAGTGCGCGCTGGTCCCGCTTTGGGCCGAGGTCACGCCCAACCTTATCAATGACACCGAGGCGCTCCTGGCCGAGATGGCCCCGAGCTGGAGGGGCTTCCGCGTCGACTCCTCGGCCAAGTACCTGGGAACGCGCATCGGCCCCGGCATCTCGGAGCAGGGCATCTGGAAGGATGCGGCGGCGAAGTGGCGGTCACGGGCTGCGGAGATGAGCCGCGCGGGCACGGCGGCCAGCCTTGCCGCCCGCGCCTACAACGTCAACGTGTTTCCGTGCCTCTCCTACCTGGCCCAGTTCTTCTTCATCGCCCCCGAGATCTGGCGGGTCGAGTTCACGATGCCCCACCGCCTCCCGCGCCTCCCTCTGTCGGCCATGCGCAAGGCGGACATCCTCTCCATGGGTGCGTGGTGCGGCCCCCCTGCACCGATGGGCCTGCTGCCGCACTCGGTCGGCGCGCTCCTCCGCGCTGCGGCTCACACGGCGCGCGACTGGGCGCCCACGCTGCGCGCCCTGCACGACACGGCGGCCGAGAATCCCCCGCTGGCGAGCGTCCTGAAGGGCTCGTGGTCGCCGCCGCGGTGGGCCACCAAGCGTTCCATCGTCCAGAACTACGGCCTCGTGATGGATAAGCGCGGTGCCTTGCCGCACCCGCGCCCTGTGATTGACAGGGCGCCCGCCCCTGCGCCGATGCCCATCATCGAGGCGGCTCGCAGCGCCATGGGCGACGAGGAGCAGGCTGCTGCCCAGGCCGCCCCCCCCCCCCCCCCCCCCCAGGAAGGTCAAGCGCCAGGCCGCGGCGATGCGCACCATCCGCGACGGCCTCTACGAGGAACGCCTCGACCAGCTGATCGGCCGCCGTCTGCGGCGCTGGAGCCTGGAGATGCCTGCCGAGGAGCTGCGAGGCCGTTGGCTGGAGCTCCGCGCCGAGTTGCGCGCTGCTCGCCCCGCCTGGATGTGGTCGCGGCTGCGCACTATCACCAACGGCTGGATCACGTCGGGCAGGATGCACGTCATTGCGCCCCGCCCCTGCATCATGGGCTACGAGGCGAGGGACGACCTGTCGCACTACATGGCGCGCCCGGTGCTGCGCGGCGCGGTCGCATCACCAGCGGAGGCGAGTGAGCTGGGCAGCGGCGCCACATTCCTCGGGCTAGGCCATCTGAGTGAGCACCGTGCGCGGCCGCGCATTGTATGTGCACGCGCGGTGGCGCTGGCCACGCAGCTGTTTCATATTCTGAAGTGGCGAGCCGATGGTGGCTCGCCCATCCATGCTGCTGCAATCGCTTCTGCGCGTGTGGCAGCACTGCATCGTCTACAGGCATATTGCGGCTCCATCGAAGCATTGGTCTGGCAGCAGGTCGGCGCCTGCGGTCGGACGCGTGCGGACATCTTGCCCTCGTCTTGCGTCTTGCCCGCTTGCCCTCGTCTCTTCCTCTTTGAGTACGTGCACTCCTCCTTCTCCTCCTCCTCCTCCTTCTCCTCCTCCTCCTCCTCTTCCTCCTCCCCCTTTTCCTCCTCCTCCTCTTCCTCCTCCTCCTCCTCCTCCTCCTCCTCCCCCTCCTCTCTTCTCCTCCATATTTTATCTCCTCTACCTCCGTCTCTCACGTCGGAACGCCTCCAATTTCATCTATCGGCGTCCAGTCGTCGTCGTATTCTCCTCCCTTTTCCTCATCGCTACCGCTGCGTCGCATGGTTGAAAACAGGCGACTGTTTTCAACCACGGGCGTGGTTTAAAACAGTCGTGGCCGATTGTTTTCGCTAAGTTTCAAAAGTTCGGTTATAAAGGCTTTGGAAGTATGGGAAGCCGCTTGGGCCGTCTTGGAGCGCCGGGAAGCGGAAGAGGCGAGGACGCCGAAATCGTGCAAAAACCGATGGGAAATCGACGACCTCTGTTCTCGAGTCATTTTTTGGACTGCACCTGGAGGCCTCTTTGAGCGTTTTGCCGGATGATTGGGCCGTCTGGAGGCCGCCCAGGCGTCTTGGACAGATCGTTCGGCGATTCGGGGCCCTCGTGGACTGTCATTGAGAGAGTTTGGGGCGCTCTTGGCCCGTCTTGAGGTTTTTTCTGCGGCCCGGGAGCCCCCGGAGGGGAAGCGTATCTGACCCGGGATCCACCCCCCTTCCCGGCGGGAGAGGAATCAAAGGGAAGGCGCTTCCCTTCGAGCGTAGGACGACGTTGTTCAACTTCGCTTTGGCTGACGCGCTTGGGGGGAGAGCCCAGGAAAGGAGAGAGGAGCGGCGACGGGCACAGGGAAAGGAAAGCGCAGGGAAAGAGGACGACAGAGACGACGATGAACGAATGACGGCGACGACGACTCGAACGGAAAAGCCCCCCCACACATGCCGACAGGGTCGGCGGATTATTTCCGCGGCACAGCGAACAGGAGGAAAGGAAGGAGGAGAGGAGGAGGCAAAGGCGCCACAAGAGTTTAGCTTCGCGCAGCAGCAGGGCTTCACGTACCAGCAGGGCTTCACGCCTCGCACCTGCATGGCTTCACGAAAGCAGGGGAGTCCGGGCCACCGTCCGAGATAGGCAAACCGCCGGAGACAGTTTCACAATCTGGGCGCGAACGGACCCGTGCGATAGCCCTGGAGTGCCCAAGTGCCACGTCTGCCCTCCTCGTATTCCACCTCTCTCCTCCTCCTGTTCCCCATCTTCTTCATCCTCCCTCCTCCCCCGCCTCCACGAGCGACACGGCGGCGGCGGCCCCCCTCCTCCTGTCGTCTCCCATCCTCCTCCTCCTCCTCCTCCTCCTCCTCCTCCTCCTCCTCCTGCTCCTGCTCCTGCTCCTCCTCCTCCTCCCCCTCCTCCTCCTCCTCCTCCTCCTCCTCCTCCTCCTCCTCCTCCTCCTCCTCCTCCTAAGGGCGCAGGGGTCCCGCATCCACTGAGCACCCCATTCGAGCCCTCAGGTGAGTGAGCGGCGGGATGACAGCGGCAGGGGGGGGCCTCCAGCGTCTCCCCGCACGAGGTGGCTGCTCAGTCCAATGCTCAACCACCTCAGTTTGTTTTGTGGGGAAACCCCTGGTGTTCGGCACAGCTTCCCTTCGCCTGTCGATGGGTGTGGCTTCCACCTGAAGGGCCCCCAAGCACGAGGTGGTTGCTCAGACCAAGGTCCACCCACCTCGGGAAGTGCTACTGCTGACCATCCGTCAGAATGGGCGAGCCGCAGGCCCCACCTGGGTGGCCACCCCTGAGGGGCAGGAGTCGCCTTGCTTCGATTTCGCTTCTCGGTGGGCGCGGCCTTCACATGCCCAAGCACGAGGTGGTTGCGCAGTATAAAGCCCAATCCACCTCAGGAAGTGCTATTGCGTATCACGCGTCAGGATGGGTGAGCCGCAGGCCCCACCAGGGTGGCCAGCTTCCTTTCGCATGTCGGTGGGAGTGGCTTCCACCTGTGTCGCCTGTCGGTGGGTGTGGACCGGCGCGCTTCACAGTCGCGGGGCGGCCTTACTCAGGGTTTCGCTTGTCGGTGGGTGCAGTTTCCGCCTATTCTTTCGCGTCGTGGAAAACGACGGTGTCCTTTCGTCTGTCGGTGGGTGCGGCTTCCACCTGGCCTCCGTTTGCCTGTCGGTGGGTGTGGTTTCCACCTGGTCTCTTCACCTGTCGTTTGGTGTGTGTGTGTGTGTTTCCCCTTGTTCTTCCTTTCGCCTGTCGGTGGGTGTGGCTTCCACCTGTTGTCGGTGGGCATGGTTTCCACCTGTACGGTCGCTTGCCGGTGGGTGTGTCTTCCACCTTCTTCCCTTTCGCCTGTCGCTGGGTGTGGCTTCCACTGTTCTCCTTTTGCCTGTCAGTGGCACCTGGTCAATAGCCTGTCGGTGGGAGTGGTTTCCACCTGTTATCCCTTCGCTTGTCGGTGAATACGGATTCCACTTGCTTTCGCGTCGTGGAAAAAAAAACGACAGCTTTAGTGTGTCGGTGGGTGTGGTTTCCACCTGCTTTCGTTCGCTTGTCGGTGGGTTTGGTTTCCACCTGGGTTTCTTTCGCTTGTCGGTGGGTGTGGCTTCTACCTGGTATTATCTGTTTCGCCTGTCGGTGGGTGTGGCTTCCACCTGGTCTCTTCGCTTGTCGATGGGTGTGATTTCCACATTAACGTGTTGAAGCTTATAGTCTTCAAAATACACGAAGTATCCAGCAGGGGGAACCCCATATTGAAAAGCAAACAGTCCCCCATCTTTGCCAACGCTGCATGGCTAAAGAACGAATGCTCGCAGCGCTAAGGCGAGAGCCCCATGTTGAAAACAAAAACTGCTCAATGCTTGAAGCTGTTGCAAGAGTTCCAAAAGAATGTGCACGGCGCTCGGGCGAGAGCCTCATCCTTAAAATGAATTGCCTTCCGTGCGCGAAGCTAGCACAACGTGTTAGAACCAATATGGGCGGCGCTCAGGCGAGAACAGCATTTTGAAAAAGACCTCCCTTCCATCTCTCCATGATTGAATTGCTTAGACAACCAGTGCGTGTGCGGCGCGACCTTCCCCTTGCAAGAAAAGATCAGAAATTGTCTGGCGAGTCTGCGCTCATGACTTTGCGACGGCAGGGTGCGTAGGTCACATACTCCCTCTTGGAGGTGGTGTCTGTCTCATGGGTCAGCGGTGAGAAAATTAAACAAGCGATCCAAGTACAAGTGGTACTACAAGTGAGATGACCCAGCTGAGTTCGCATAGCGGACTTGCTATTGAATGGGCTGTCCCTGAGAGACAGGCTGTGTGCAACAAGATGCGTTGTGCAGACGACGTGCCAGTACCAGGTCTGAGTGCGGTTCGCTGTTGTAGCGCCCGCGGGAAAAACATCACCCATCATGCACGTCACCGTGGCGATAAGGCGAGAGCGACATTTTGAAAGGAACCGTCCTCCATCCTTGAAGCCGCTGCAATGTGCTAAGACGAGCGAGCGCAGCTATAAGGCGAGAGACACATTTGATAACGCCCCCTCCATCCGTGAGGCTGCTGCGAATTTGTAAGACGGGTGTGCGCTGCGCTACGGCTAGAGCCACATTGGGACCCCCCTTTCATCCCGAAAGTGACATAGCTTTTGAGGACGAGCTTGCGCGGCGGTAAGGCTAGAGCCACATTTTGAGAACGGCCCCATCCATCCTTGAACTTGTTGCACATGGATAAGACGAGTGTGCGCGGCGCTACGGCGAGAGCCACATTTTGAAAAGAAGCCGGTCTCCACCTTTGCACCTGTTGCAACTTGGAAGCGTCGGGATCATACATGGGGGGGAAGTCTCAGGCGAAACGCCCCGCCCGCCCTACCGACGCGCCCGAGGGTGCGGCAGCGAAAAGTTGCTTATAAGGAGAAAGGAACGAGGAGGATATCAAGCAGTGGCGAAGCGTCCTAGCTCGCCTATACGCCTACCAAAACATGTTCTAAGAACCTTTTTGTGGTTTGCACGAAACGTTCTTAGAACATTTCTGGCTGAGACTGTCGTGGTTTGACGCATGGGGCTTATGCTCTAAGAACATTGCTCTCGTGATTAGAACTTGGGGTTCTATGATCATTTCGTGGTAGGCCTATAGGAATTCCGGGACGGTCGGTCCCTGCTCAAGGAAAACGATGAAGACGACGACGATGATGGCGACGACGACGACGACGACGACGACGGCGGCGGCGGCGACGACGACGACGAGAACGACAGGAATCAGCGAGCACCGAGGAGTGCGGGTGAATGCGCTCCTCGCCGCGGGGGCGGGAGATTGAGGAGGAGCAGGAGGAGGAGGAGGGGGAGGAGGAGGAAGAAGCAGAATTGGAGGAGGAGGGCCCCGAATCGGATGCGGAGTCCGCCCAAAAAGACCCCGGCTGGAGAGAACGGAGAGATCGCTCGCCTGAGGCTTGGTCTGCATCCCTGACCGCCGAGGAGGAGCGGGGACAGGCGCGTGCCGGGCTATCCCAACTGCTCCGACGGCTGTCCTGGGAGCGGAGGCGCTGGTCGCCAGAGGACCGCGGCCTGATCGCCAGCGTGGGGGCGCTGCTGCGCTCGGAGTTCCCGGAGCTCCTGCGGCCGCCCTTTGCGGGGCGCTCGGTCCTGGCGATGCTGGAGGACCCTAGGGGGCCTCCCTCCCTGAGTGCTGTTGCTGCCAACATTCCTCATCTTTCCTCCTCTTGCGCCTCCACCTCCGTAGCCATCTTGGCTCAAGTCCTCAGGTTTCCTTGTGAACCAAGCGGATACCGCTGATCCGCGGCAGGAAGGGCGGTTCAGCCTGGTGTCCTCATGCGGTGGCTGATCCGCCCCTGCCCCCGAGCCCCTGGTGAGCAGTCTCCCTTGCGTCCGGCACCACGGCTCCCAGTGGGCTGCGGCTATTGGGCCCGCTCCTTGCGATCGCCTCGTTGAGCGGAGGGAACGAGCGGCCTGATGCTGCTGGTCCTCAAAATTCTGAGCGGCCCCCGCGCTCGAGAGGACGAACGCAGTGACACTGACGAGCGGTCGGCCTCGCTTATTTCGGGACGCACGGCTCGCGGAGGTCGTCGCAATACCCGTCGACGCGAAGACCGCTTACGAGCTGACGCTGCAGCCGCTGCCCATGCGCAGGTCGACGTGCTGGCGGACACCTTCGTGCAGAGTTTGGCGGGGCCAAAGGACTTGGCACCGCATGCGCCGGCGGAGGCGCTCTACCCAATGCATGCCAAGCGTGCGGAGACGATATCGGCTCAGAATTGGATTCTCCGGTCAAAGAGCACATGGCGGCCCTCACCTCGTTGTCGGCAGCGCCCCAGGCGAAGCTGATACAGGTGGTGCGGCAGCACCGTCAGAATATCGATTCGCGGATTTCGCTTGCGGGCCATGACATCGCCGCCCTTCGCGAGCGTCAAGACAAGCTCGAGCATGCCAATCAGAAGCTTTGCCAAGACAGTCGAAAAATGCGTTCCATGCTCGACAAGGCGGAGGCCAGCGCACCCTTATTCCAGGCGGCGCGGCCGGCGACATGGGATAGAGTTGCGGCCCCCAATGTGTTCCAACTGGCGGTCGCCCCTGGCACCGCAGCTGGTAAGGTACAGCATGTTCTCTGCGAGTGGCTCGCAACAGGTGCGGTTCGTCCACGTCAGTATGATCTTCCCACATTCCCGTCTGGCAAGGACTACGTACTGGAGCGTACCGGCGGGGTGGTGGGATACGAGCGGGCCACGCGGTTGACGCAGCAATTGCAGACACCAGGCGGTTTGCGGCGATTTCTGGTGGCCAGCATCTGCGCATCAATGTGGACACGTCCACGCCAGGACGGTGGGCCAGATATTACAGGAGCACGTTGCGACACCGACATCAGCGACCAGGAGTGGTTTCAGTGATGGTCACCGATGCGGAAGTGCACGCGCGCACACACAGATACGCCACACCTAAACACACATACACACACACACACACACACACACACACACACACACACACACACACGCACACGCACGCACGCACGCACGCACACACACGCACACACAAACACCTATATATATCCCTGGGGGGCTGACCCGCGGCCTGAAAACAGGTGCCCCGACCCCCCATGGGAGGACGGGGGGGGCCTGGAGCCTCCCCGGAGCAGCCAAGACAGCCCCAGAGTGCCCGAAGAGCGTTCCAACACAGGCCCAGAGGGCTCCAAGACGCTAAAGGTGGCCCCAAGACTGCGCCAGAGGCCCCCAAGACCGCCCAAGACAGCCCCAAGACAGCACAAGATGGCCCCAAGACGCCCCAAGAGGCCCCAAAGAAGCCTACCAAGAGAGCCCGGGGAAGCCAAAATTGTTGATTTTCTGTGTGTTTTTCGATGTTTTTTTGCGTTCTCGCTCTTCCAGCTTTCCGACGCTCCAAGACAGCTCCAGAGGCCCTCAAGAGCGCCCAAAGATGGCCCGGGACGCCCCCAATACGGCCCCAAGACGGCCCCAAGACAGCTCTGGAGGGCCCCAAGACAGCCCAAGAGGCGCCCAAGAGATCCCAACACGGCCCCGAGAAGGCCCCAAGAGGGGCCCGAGAGGGCGACCGAAGGTTCAAACATCTAATTTACCGCCCCGAGAGGGCCCCAGGAGACCCCCAGAGGGCCCCAAGAGGCCCCAAGAGGCCTCCAAGAAGCCCCAAGGAGGCCCCCAAGAGGCTCCCAAAAGACCCCAATGGGCCCCAAACCGGCTCCCCATGAGGCCTCCAAACTGCGGCCCAGAGGCCCCAAAGAAGCCTCCCAAGAGAGGCCCGGGAGGCCCGAATTGTTGATTTTAAAAAATCGATCCGGGCTGAAAAACTGCGTCCTGTGTGTGCCGGAATCGTCCCGGTCGGCCGCCGGAAGCCCGAGGCATTGCCCTGAAACCGATGCACGGGGCGGGGCTTTTGGGACTTTCGAGTGGCCCCCTCGTCGCCACGGCTGGACGCAGCTTGGAGAACTGGTACGTTTGGACTCCGGGCAGGGTCGTGGGACGTGTCGCAGCCGAGGCAAGCCAAAGGGCGAACGGTTCTGCTCTGGCCGAAAGGTTGTGCAGCGGCAGCTCCAGCTGCCTCGAAGAGGGTCGGCGGTGGCAGGTCCACTGCAACTTCCCTGCGCACTGTCTCGTCCTCCGCATCGGCTTCTGTCCCCGCGCGTGCACGGAGCCAGATGTCATCAGCCCTCAAGCCCTGAAGCCCTACTCCGCCTCCTCCTCCCCCTCCTCCGCCTCCTCCCCCTCCCCCTCCTCCTCCTCTCTCTCCTCCCCCTCCTCCTCCCCCTCCTCCTCCTCCTCCTTCTCCTCCTCCTCCTCCCAGTCGGCCCGAGGACAGTAAGCACAGGTCCAGTATCGGGGCTCGAGGATTGAAGCTTGCGGGTGCCTGGGCGTCTGGAGGCATCTGGGCACACGATGACGTCGTGGTGCGATCGGACTCGAGAGGCCCCCAAGAGGCCTCTAGAAGTCTGGAACGGGCAGCCCGGACGCCCGAAGAGGTCTCCAAAGAAGGCCCGACGAGGCAGAATCATTGCTTCTCCGAAGTTTTTCGAAGGATTTTGGAATTTTCGCTTTTCAGTTTCCCGACGCACACCGGCGTCCCAAGAGCCCGTTTTTTTATTCCCCGGCGATAACGGGCGTTACCGGGGGGGGGGGGGCGGGGGGCCGGTAGCGTCACGTTCGGCGCCCGCGGCGTCTGGGAATGCCTAGGGATGACCGAGGACAGGTAGGGGCAGCGTGAAGGTGGCGATCTGCACCACAGCGCCTGTGTACACCACAGTGCCTGCGTGCACCACAGCGCCTGTGTACACCGCAGCGCCTGTGTACACCACAGCAGCCTGCGTGCACCACAGCGACGACGACGACGAGAAAGAGGACGGGGAAAAGTTTGATGAGGAGGAGGAGGAGGAGGAGGAGGAGGAGGAGGAGGAGGAGGAGGAGGAGGAGGAGGAGGTTTTGGAGCGCTTTAGCTTTAGTTTGGCTCAAGTTTCAAGACTCAAGACACACACGGGGTCCATGTAGCCCGGAGTCCCGGGATAATATTTACACCCCTGTCGGGAGGCTCCTTGGCCACTTGGAACCGTCTTGGGGCGGTCGCGGCCTCTCTAAGGCCCTCTTGGAACCACCCTTGGCCAAAAAAGGAGCTCTGACAGACTCAAGACACACAAGGGGTCCATGTAGCCCGGAGTCCTGGGATAATATTTCTGTCGGGGGCTCCTTGGCCACTTGTCTTGGAGGCCATCGTGGCCTCTCTAAGGCCCTCTTGGAACCACCTTTGGCCAAAAAAGGAGCTCTGACAGACTCAAGACACACAAGGGGTCCATGTAGCCCGGAGTCCTGGGATAATATTTACACCCCTGTCGGGAGGCTCTTTGGCCACTTGAACGATCTTGGAGGCCATCGTGGCCTCTCTAAGGCCCTCTTGGAACCACCTTTGGCCAAAAAAGGAGCTCTGACAGACTCAAGACACACAAGGGGTCCATGTAGCCCGGAGTCCTGGGATAATATTTACACCCCTGTCGGGAGGCTCCTTGGCCACTTCAACGATCTTGGAGGCCATCGTGGCCTTTCTAAGGCCCTCTTCGAACCACCTTTGGCCAAAAAAGGAGCTCTGACAGACTCAAGACACACCAGGGGTCCATGTAGCCCGGAGTCCTGGGATAATATTTACACCCCTGTCGGGAGGTCTCCTTGGCCACTTGAACGATCTTGGAGGCCATCGTGGCCTCTCTAATGCCCTCTTGGAACCACCTTTGGCCAAAAAAGGAGCTCTGACAGACTCAAGACACACAAGGGGTCCATGTAGCCCGGAGTCCTGGGATAATATTTACACCCCTGTCGGGAGGCTCCTTGGCCACTTGAACAATCTTGGAGGCCATCGTGGCCTCTCTAAGGTCCTCTTGGAACCACCTTTGGCCAAAAAAGGAGCTCTGACAGACTCAAGACACACAAGGGGTCCATGTAGCCCGGAGTCCTGGGATAATATTTACACCCCTGTCGGGAGGCGCCTTGGCAACTTGAACGATATTGGATGCCATCGTAGCCTCTCTAAGGCCCTCTTGGAACCACCTTTGGCCAAAAAAGGAGCTCTGACAGACTCCAGACACACATGGGGTCCATGTAGCCCGGAGTCCTGGGATAGTATTTACACCCCTGTCGGGAGGCTCCTTGGCCACTTGAACGATCTTGGAGGCCATCGTGGCTTCCCTGAGGCCCTCTTGGAACCACCTTTGGCCAAAAAAGGAGCTCTGACAGACTCAAGACACACAAGGGGTCCATGTAGCCCGGAGTCCTGGGATAATATTTACACCCCTGTCGGGAGGCTCTTTGGCCACTTGAACGATCTTGGAGGCCATCGTGGACTCTCTAAGGCCCTCTTGGAACCACCTTTGGCCAAAAAAGGAGCTCTGACAGACTCAAGACACACAAGGGGTCCATGTAGCCCGGAGTCCTGGGATAATATTTACACCCCTGTCGGGAGGCTCCTTGGCCACTTCAACGATCTTGGAGGCCATCGTGGCCTCTCTAAGGCCCTCTTCGAACCACCTTTGGCCAAACAAGGAGCTCTGACAGACTCAAGACACACCAGGGGTCCATGTAGCCCGGAGTCCTGGGATAATATTTACACCCCTGTCGGGAGGTCTCCTTGGCCAC